CCTATGATTTCTTTTGTTTTGATGCACTTAAAATAATTCCTTCTTAGTGCCTCTAGCCCTATGAGGAATGAATACTTACCTGATGTCTTTAGCTTTCCTTATCAATTTTCTGCACTTTATAACTTATAATTTAGATCAATTACTACCTGTTTGCTCATTTTTCCTCTTCAGTTTTTATTTCTAATTGTCTTCAGTTTGCCACTGAGCTACGGTGGGCTTTCAGCCATGTATTCCTCTTTCCTGATGGCTGGTGGTTTTAGCCACCTAGTAGAGTTACTTTAAATAATTCCCAATTTTCATTCATATTTTTCTATCTAATTTTTTTATCAGTAATAAAAGCTTTGTGTGATTCTCAAGAAGATTTGGGAAGTCAGAGGAAGTGCCTCTTTGAATAGGGGGAGTTCAGGGATAACTCTTTCAATTTGGGGGTCATTAATTGTGCATTTCACTACTTAATGAGGATAAGGGAAGGATATTATACAATCTCTGGCAGCTCCAATGAGACTGACCCATTTGAAATAGCAACTTTATATCCACGTAGGAGGATGTGCAGTAATTGTTATAGATGATTATTCTCTTGGTTCATCTGCTCCTCTTGCTTCCATCCCCTTCACTCCCAACCCCTGTACATTTTCTGTTTCACTTATGAGAATTATATTTTGATCTGCCTATAATCTTTCTACTCAATGTTATAAACCAGTAAGACAAGGTTCTTCAGGTGAATCTGATATCTTTTATTAGACGAACTTAAATAGCTGGAAAAAAAATTTTAGCAAGCTTTCGGGTTTAAAAACCCTGAGTCAGGTTGAGGAAGTCTCTGCAGTTGGTGTGTGCTCTTTGTGGATGGGATGAACCTTGCCTGCCTATGTCCTTAGACCAACATGGCTACAACCTACACCCCCATAAACCAGTAAAAGATTCATTTTAGCATGTATTTGTTGGTATTTTGTCTTGTCTTTTTTAAGTAACCCAAGCAGTGTCTCTTCCTCTTCCCTTTTCTGCATTCTGGTAGGTCACATCAGCAGGGATCCGGGTTTTCCATTCGCCACAGAAAAACACTGAAATACTCTGAATTTTCTCCTTTAAAGAAGAAAAATGTGAGAAATGGTGGGTTCCCCCTGCAGGCTGGCAGAGTTCCAGCCTGCATGGGCTGGGGGGAGCAGGAGAAGAGTGATCAGGCAGGGGGTGCCACATGCATGTGCACATGTACACATGCACGTGACCTCTAGGCAGCCTGGAGAGGAGCTCCCGTAAGTAAATCTGGCAGTGGTGAGGGCGGTGGGGTGAGGATTGAGGCCCCCATAGTGAGGGAGGGAGTTGGGCAGGGCTTGGCCTGGGACTGAGCTGCTGCCCAGCCTGAGCAGTGCATGTGCCTGGGGGCCTGGGGCCATGTGCAGCCACAGAGCCTGCGCAGGGAGCAGGATAGAGCAGCAGGAACTTCTGGGGTGATATGTGGGGGGGCATACCCAGATTTGTGTGCAGGGTGGGTGCAGGTTGCTAGCTGTGGGCTTGTGGCTCCCTGTCCTACTGCCCTTGCCACTGGGCCTCCACAGCCCAGCGCGTGGGACCCAGCACAGCAGGGCGGAGTGGGGTGGGGAAGCTTGGTGCTGCTTCTGTGAGCCCCGCACCGCCATGGCAAGGCGCCCCCTGCCCGCCCAGCAGCAGTGGGGATGTCAGTGTGGAGCTGTGCCCCTCTCTGCCGCTAGGCAAGCAGGGGCACCTCTCCATGGCAGTGCAGAGCTCCCAGTGGTGGCAACAAGTTTCCCCGCCTGGTCCTGCTCTGCCCTGCCATGCCGGGTCCTGCCTGTGGGGCCCTGGAGGCCCTGGGGGGATGGAGGCAGAGCAGGGAGTCCCAAGCTCACAGTGGGCAGCCCACACCCACTGCCCGAAAGGGCTCCCCTCTGCCTGTGCTACCCTTCGGGGAGGGGAGCTGGGCTCCAGGCTCGGCTCCACCACAGCAGCCACTGCTTCGCTCAGGTAGCAGCCAGGGCTCAGGCACTGCTGTGGGGGTAGGGGGCTGCAGACCTGGGTCCCTGGTCCTGTAGCCCTGGCAGCTGGGGAGGAGCTATGGGTGGGGAGTTAGGGCACCAGCAGGGGTGAAGGAGCTGTGGGTTGGTAGCGAGGGGCAATGGCATGGGTAGGGCACCAGCATATCAAGGTTGCTCAGTGCCACAAAGCAGTTGGGGTGGGCAGGGAAGCTGTGGTTGGACCCTCAAGCTGGTGAGTGAAGGGGGCAGAGGGAGCTTGGATTTTCCATGAAGAAAAACCCAAACTCAAACATCAAAATGTATAGGTATTTATAATTTATATTATATTATAGTGATTGAGGGTCTGGTAGGCTTCCAAATGGCTTTAAAATTGTAAATATATCAATAAAATATTGTGTTCAACTGATACCTATATATATAGTGGCATTTCATTTTAATTATGGAAAAATATGGATTTTGGAGTTTTTCATCAAAGAATTTGTGGGTTCCCCCCCCCTTAAATCAGAGAATTTGTGATTTTTAAACAGAGAAAACCAGGATCCCTCGTCATCAGTTAGATATCTGATTTATCTGATATTCAGCCTAAGCTTTCTTGTTTCTTATGTTACCAGATACTCCTAGTTGTAACAACACTTTGAGCTATTCTTGGCAGTTTTTCTGTGTTTATGGTGTTTCTGTCCTCTGAGTACTTTATAAATTGTTATTATGGTTCTCAGTTTATAGTCTTTGACTAGCTGAATTATGTTGGGTATATGTCCTTATAAACTGATCCTATAAAATTCTTTCTTTCTTTTGTGCTCATGTTGGAATTACTTCAACTCTGGTAATAAGGTGCCGAAAACTGGTGATAGGAACGTTTTTAGCACAGTCAGTTAGGCAGATTGCATTCTGATCCCCTGTCTCAAGCCCAACATTGCTCTTTCTTTTGCTGCCATATCACCTGAAAAAGGGTAGATTGGACTTGATTCCCATTGTCAGGCATAGGTTTTCCAGTTTTAAGGCTTCCAGATTTCTTCCTTCTGTTGAGGATATGTGCTTTCATAAAGGCTCTTTTCCTCCAAGATGTTATTAGTTTTGTTTTTTCAAAAATTGAATCTCATGTTGTTTCCTTGTCCTGTTTCTACATTCTCCTGATCCTTTTTGACTTTCCCTAGCCTCTCTGTTGTTTGCCTCTTTTCACAGTGTAGTAACAGTAGTAGTAGCAGTAGTTTATTTCCACTTTTTGCTGAAACAATACAGTAAAATTGACAATAACATTATATGTAATACAATAATAAAAGTATATCATGTAAGGTTATTAGTAAAAACATACAAGACTACACGTTCTGTCAATTTAAAAGACATTAAAATAGAGCATGACATACAATGATAGAAAAATAGATAAAATGAAACCATAACTAATAGTGGAACAAAAGAATAAAAAAGAGGAATATTATTTGATTTTGTTCGTGCAAGTAATGCAAATACACGCAGGGAGTATAGGTCAGGCTGTAAATTATTAGAGAGAAGCCAAACTGTTTTTTTCTCATTAGCCCAGTATTTAAAGTTTTCCACCAATGAAGAGTCAAATTTTCCCTTATTTCTTCAACAAATGAGACCACAAATAGTGGTTTAAATCATCCGTCTCATTCTTCCTGCAAGAACATTCCTGTCTGTGTATGGGGTCCAGCACCACCTGTCCATAACAGCTGCACATCTCAGTTTGAGTGAATCATAGTCTAGTAATGGTCTCTTGTTTATAGTTTTGTACTTCAGGTAAGTAGATTTCTGGGCCAAAAGAGTGCTTTATTAATCTCCAAAAAAGGAGATTTTTAGAAGATCTCAGTGCCTGCGTATCTGTCTGCATGCTGGCATCTTTAATCATTAAATTTATATTTGTTTTAAGTTTAAGAGTAATATTGTGTCTGTGACTGTCAGTACATTTCCCAGGCCATTTTTATGGAGGAGAATATAAGTGTTATTTAACTATCCAAGTAGTGGTTTTTTGGAAGAGGAAAGACTTTCAAGGTATACTTTGTAAGGTATACAGGCTCTAATTTTTATCCAATATTTTAAAATTCTTAATTTTGCTAAAGTGCTCGCATGAAGCAACAGCATTTCAGATCACGTGAGCACCTCCCAATTGTAGAACGTGGTAGAGATAAAAGCTGCCTTAAAAGTATTTAGAATTTGTTTCTATTTTTGAATGAACTATGGCATCAGCACCCCATACTTCCTCTCCATACAGTAAAATGGACCCTATCTTAGATCCATAGATCTTTAATGCTTTCAGTATCATCCTTTTACCAATCTTAGTGTAAAAGGATAAAACTCCACTCAAAGCTTTCTTTTTTTTACTTTAATGCTTACATTTTTATGTGTTTATTCCAGCTCTGTCATGTCATATCTGAATTTCATCTTTTTCAGGTCATTAATGTAAGTTTTAAAATAATCCTAGGCAAAACACTATGGTTGGAGGGCTGCACTGCAGCGAAGGATTGCAAAGGAAGAAACTGCGCATTAGTGGGAGAAATTCAGAGAAGAGGCTTTCGAATGAGGGTTGCTCAGGATAATCAGCATGTTAGGTTCACAGACTCTGTTTTTTGAGCAGTTCTGAAGGTTTGTAAGGGTTGCAAAATGTAAAGATCAGGAGCAGATTTTCTTTTTTTTTTAGGTCTGGACAAGTGTCTTTCCTTTGATAGGTCAAATGCTGATCTATGCTGGAGGCAGGATCCAGGACTTAAGAGACCAGTGGTCTGATCTGGCATAGCAGATCTTGTGCTCTTATTTAATGGGTTGGTATTTTTCCTTGTGAAGGTTATTTATGGTGACTGAGGTTGGGTCATGTTTTACTAACAAAATGTCCTTACTTTTGAGAAGTAAATTAAAATTTAATAGGACATTTATCACAAATGCACATACCTACACATGTTGTCATTTTAAATCCCGAAGTCTCTTAGATTAGGTATCTGTTACTTATAAAAGGATACCTTGAAATGAGAATTTCCATTTTCTCCTGTTTCTCCTACTCAGGGAGCGCTTGAAGAGGAGTCCAAAGAGCCCGAAAGCAGAGGGCTCTGATTCTGTGACCTCCCAGTCGTCTCCCAGTGAAGAGACTGGAATGATGACTGAGGTGAAAGTGAAAACAGAGGTACCAGATGACTATATTGAAGAGGTGATCTGGCAGGATGACACCAAAGATTCCAAGAAGAACATAAAGGATGGGCCAGGAGATGTGCCAGCAGAAATCTGTGTAGTGATTGGTGGGGTCCGCAACCAGCAGACACTCGGTAAGCTGTCATCTAATACACCTGTCCTGATTGATTCCTTGTTTTCCAAAAAGCAGGTCCTTCAAGGTTTGGCTCTATCATATGCCTCTGAGCTGAGTTTTTAAAAGTTTCTCTGTATCCTGCCACAAGGTTATTCAGCATCTCTCCCCTTACTATAGTTGTGCTTAAAGACCAGGTCTACATGGTGCTAGACATTGTCCACAGGCATATGCAGAGCAACAGGCAATCCCTGCTCTAAGGATTCACAGCCTCAATAAAGAAGCCAAAAGGAGAGAGAAGGGGAAGAATAACTCTCCTTATTTTACATGAGGAAATGAAGTGAAAAAGAAACTAGATGATGTCATATATGAAACCAATGAATATATATATATATTCATTATGTGGCAAAACAGGAAAAAATAAGTTGAAAATGGAAAACTTTGTAGTTGTTTTTGACAAAATTGACCAACCTTCCTCCCTAGTTGAGCAGAAGCATTTTCAGATTTAATTCAAAATGCGGGGGGGGGGTTATGAAAAAAATGCTTTCCACAAATAACTTAATTTAGATGAAAAGAAAAGTTTTCTGTTAAAAAAAAAATTGAGACGTGCTGTCAAATGTCTCACCGGTCACAGGACAGATTCCCGTATCTGAAATGGAACTGCTTCTGCCACCGGTTTGACAAATCTTAACCCTGAGAATAGTTGTTAGTATAAGGATGCATTGCATTTCATAGAACGAAGGAGGCTTGTGTTTCTCAAACTTTTTTAGACTTGAGATGCCCCTTGGAAAATGCCAGCCTTGTGCTTTCATGCATTTTTTAACTGTGATAGAGTAATTCTTTTGTTTCAAAGAACTCAGACCAACACAAGTCAGGAAGTTTTTGATGCTCAAGATTCCTATTTCAAAAGCCTGGGTTTAGCTTGTGAGTCATGTGCAGGTATATGCACACCTATTAGTGCTAATACCGTGCATTATACTTAAAAGGATCTCACTACAGCACCCTGGTTGAAAATCACTGAGGTAGACTGTGGCGAGAGTACCACATTAGCTTGAAGGGGCCAAGAAGGAAACTGATTTTAATTGCCGTGGGTTACTTTTGTTTAACTTTTTTACAGTTAATATTGTAATTTATACCTACACTACACTAGGTTTTCCCTGTTAAGCTCATAGTCCTAACCCTACCTGCTTTTAAGTGAAACCTTAGACCTCATCATTAGCCAGGGACAGACTGGAACTGGTTCAAGAGTGCTTGATTTTCAGAATCCTTGCTCACTGTATTCACCATCCCCTCTTCAGCTATGGCAGCCATTATACAATGAAGGACAGAGGCAGCAGCGACCTGGTAGGCCTGGCTGGCATTTGGATATGCCAGGCTTTCACAGCCTAAGAGGAGAAAACTGTTGTTTAACTAGGGAAGGGATGAATTAAGTGACATACTACAGTTATTTACACAATAACTTGATCCACTTTGGCATGGTTCCAGGTTGGTAGAAATTATTCTTAGAAGTTCAAGGGCCAGATTAAGGGGCACAGATAGCCCATGCTTCTCTACCCCCTGCAAGAATGGAGGCGTACAAGGCAAAGTCAGCCAGGTAATACTGTTGGCAGTGCTGGAGCCCCAGAGATAATTCTTGCCTACCAGCAGGCAGGGGTGAACTGGAAAGAGAGAGCTCTTGAACAGAGGAAACAAGTAGCCTCTACCATAACAGATACCACTGCTTTGGCAGTGAACCGTCTGTCCCTCTGCAACATCACTGGCTCCAGAAGCTAGAATTTGGGAGTCCCTAACGTTAGTCTGAGAACTGTGCATGAGCTCCCTCTGTTGGCTATGCACTAGCAGCTATCCCACAAACACTCATCCTGTGATTTCTACAAGTGTAGTTTCTAGATCAGCGGTAAGCAACCGTTTCTAGCTGCAGGCCCAAACAACCCAGCCTGGGTCCAAGGCAGGTGCTAGGGCCTGGTCACTGCCACAAGTTGTCTCTGCAGCAGCACAGAGAGAGTGCCTGCAGCCAAAGCCCCTCCACCCCCCCAAATACTGCCAAAGGCCCCGCATCCACGGACTGGATTCAGTGGTTCCACGGGTCCGATCTGGTCTCTGGGCCATGGGTTGCCAATTCCCATTCTAGATAATATTGACCACACTAGTGTAAAAACCAAAAAAAGACACAAGAGGCAGCCATATTGGTGTTTGCTGAACTTGGACATAGCAAAATGCCATGGTGCCCAAATGCAGGAGACTTGGGGAAAATTGTGTAGCTATCTGCAAGGGGAAGCTGTGTGGCAACGAAAGGGGGGAAGATGCTATTTTCAAATTTGGAAGTGGGTATTAGGAACATGGAAGTGGCCTCCTGGGTCATTGTATCAAGTCTCCTGCATTAACCAAAGGAATACCTAAAATCACCACTTCAAACTCACTTAAAATTACAAGAAGCAATATCAAAAATGCCCAGAATATCCTGTAACATTAAAAGTAATAAGGAATGGACTAAAAAAACCTCCTAGCTAGCAATTCCCCTTTAAATGAATTGGGCATCATATTTTGTATTTTATACCCTTGTATCTGGGTTTCTTTAAAGCCAACTTGATCCTGAGGCAATTGGCAGTTAGCTCCAATTCCATTGTGAAAGGAGGCCCGTAAGTGCATCCATTCATCCAGCCATTCACATGGTTCTTGTTCAGTTGGGAGGTGACACTCAGATTTGCTCTGAATAACTTTTCTGTTTGGGCACCAAATACTGCTCTCTGTGTGAACTGCAGTGCACAGATATCAGTTCCTTGTGGTTTCTCAAGCTGGCTCCTATTCAGGTTTTCTGCATCCTCCACTTCCAGTTACTCCCTTGCAAACACCACAAGCAAGTAATATTTCCGTAGCTGCAAAGTCATCTCTGCAACTTTCAATAAAGCCATTGCCGCCTGGCAATGTACTGCTGCTGTTCTTGGACTGTGGGATCCAGGCTTGCTAATAGCTTATGGCTCTAACCCTTCCCTTTCATACCTTTTAAGGGAAAGCTGCTTCTTATCTGCTGCTGCATGAGGGTTTTTCCATAAGGCCTCCCTTGTCAAACCTTGATGGTGAATTGATTCAGTTGCCCACTGTGGAAATTGCTAGAGCTGCAATCACATGGAAGGTAGAGGCGGGGTGATTTCTTCATGGAGATTTGGACTTGGGGTATTTAAAGTGATAATTTTCTATGGTGCATAATAAAGTATAATTAATGAGTCAGAAGTAGACAAATTACCACCACTTTGGTAATATATTAATACAAGATACACAGAGCACCTCTTCTTGTACAATAGAAGAAGTATTGTCAGTTCAGTGGGAGGTGGCTTGTCTATATCAAGGCTGGAGACCAGAGCTGGCCTTAGGGAAAATGGTACCCTGGACAGACTTGTATTTTGGTGTCCCTCCCTTCTCCCCTCACCCCTCTCTGAGGCAGGCAGGGGCATGGGCCACAGTCGGTTGAGGAAATGGAGCAGCATGGTGCTCCAGCAGAAGCTGGTGGTGGGGAGCCTACTTGGGCTAGGCGCTGCTCCTTCTGCCCAGGGCGGGACAGGGCTGGGGGAGAGTACAGCTGTGAGCATGGGTTGCTCGTGTGTGTGTTGCCCCCCTGACAATGGTGTCCTGGCTCTGGCTGGACACACTCTCTGTTCTCAGCATTTTGTTCTCCCTACATTGGGAACATGCCAAGCTCCATTGTGTATTAGAGCTGAATAAGATGAAGGTAGTGGTTGATGCCCAGAGTGTTGGTCACTTAAGCTTCAAGGATGGTGGTTTAGGGACTGCTGGCTTAATCTTTTCATTTCTGCAGAACAGTTGCTAATACTTCCTTGGGCATTGGGTCCCTATTTGGGCATTGCAAGGAAGTTGAATTAGCAGAATAATTAGCAGTAACTTTGGGACCTGATCAGTAGCTGAATGCCAGAACTTTGACACCCCAAATCCCTCTGTGCTCCACATCTTTAGAAGCAAGTATAAGGAATGCCCTGCTGTCCTCACATGTACCAGGTAGTCATGTTTCTAACACAGAGCAGTTCAGAAATGTCAGGTTTTTTGATGACTTTTCATGCTGCCTGTGGGTCTGGGCTGGATGAATAACACTGATGCTAAGGTTTCTTAAGTAGAAGAGTTTGACAGGTGAACTCCTACAAAATCTATATGGAAGCCTAGAGGAAAGGCAGTGGAAATGACACTTTCTGCTGGAAGTTTGAGAGGATCGGGTGTGGGACTTTGATACATGTAGACAAGATAACTTCTGTCTTGGAATGTTAAGAATTTCATTATTTTGGTATTTGGATTTTGAAAGAGTTTATATTATTTGGGATTTAATCAAAAGGAATTTTGTATTAGGATCTATTTAAACCCTCCCATTGGAGCCATGATATCTGATCAGGTAGAGTATTGGGTCATAAATGTTACCTAGAAGAGACAAGGATGGAGAGGGTAGGTCCATGTGCAAACCTTTCTGCTTATAGACCATCAGCTAATTTGTATTCATTTGATTCAAGCTAATATGCTCATGCTCTACCTGCAGAGTTGCTCAATTATTTTAACATGCAAGCACTTTAGGGGAGCCCAGTATTTACATTAGATAAAATGGTGCTGCACAAAGCCGTACAAAACTCTCTGTGGCCTTTTGACATTTTGATATAAGGCCGTCACATCAAATGAGCATGTGACATTTTTACTAGCTTTCAGCCATCATTACCTTTTGGAAATTCATCCACTTTAAGGGCTTTTTCTGATTTTTTTTGCGCAATTTAGATGGAAAAGCAGTGGAACGTGGCTCTCCTGTTGGATATACACGAAATCGATATTCAGGCACCTGGATTTTTGACCATGCATTGAGATACACGTCCGGTATGTGATGGAAAGGTGTGAAAATTTAACCAGGGATTGAAGAGTGAGGGAAAGCTCTGGATGCAACTAGCATGTTGCTCACACTCCAAATGCAAGACTTAGTAAAAGCCTGACAAAATCTAATGCACTTATTAACCAAACACCCCCCTTCCCTGTCTCTTTTCATATTTGAAGCAGCTTTTACCTGCATGACTTGTCTTGACAGGGATAAAAGCCCAAGGTGTCCCCAAGGCCAAAGCAGCAGTATCTAAGCCAACACAAGCATGCTCTTTGTAAGATTGTGACCTGCAGGATGCCTCTTCTCACCACATCTTTCCTCCCCATTAAACAACACATTGATTGTGGCAAGTCATTCCCACCTTTGATTTGGAGGCATGTGACTGTTTCTACCACCCCACTCCACATAACACCATAGAGTAGGATCAGCTTCAAAACTGATGTCTCTACCATTAAGTTCACTTTGGCACAACTGGAGAAATCCAGATCCGCAGAACACTTATTTGGGTTCCCTACCTTCTATAAGCTCTGCTGTCTTCAGGACATGGTGCTTGTAACTGTTCTTGCCTTAGGGTGCAAGAGCTCAGAACATATGGGTAGAGGAGCCCTTACCTGAGGATGTGGAGCAGGCACAAAGACAAGTCTGTATGGAGCCAGACTTTTTGCTTCCTTCATTGTATTATGGGGCAAGTAGTCCCTGTGCTCCAAGCTCTTCTGAAAGCCACTGTTGTAGTGTTTGGTACTGTGCAAAGTGAGCAATAGTTACAGGGATATGAGCTGTATAAATATAAGGTAAAATTAAAACAGGAAGCCATAGGATCTTGTTGACAGTGATATAAAGCACTAGCTTTTCACTGGTGGGGATGTGGATTCTAATGCTGGCTCCAGTCTCATGTGAAACGGACTTTGGCGGGTCTTTCAACTTTGGCCCTATTTGTCCACATCTCAGGATCACATATCAGCAAACTGACAAATTCTTACTAGGAAAAGCCAATGGCTAGAATAACAAAGGATCAAGAGACTTAGACAGTCAGGGGGCAGGAGGAGGCAATCTTGCATGGCACTGCCAGCACTATCCATCCTTCTCACCTCTTAGTATCACTTGTTTTCAGATGCACAATCTCCTAAGTGTGTGTTTGCAACTCAAATAGAGCTTCATATTTGAGCCAGAAGGCAGCACGGTCACATGTATGGACTTTTTTTCTTCATGAAATGCTGTGCACGCAAATGCACCTAAATGCCACAGAAATAATTTCCACAGGAAGTGGGGAGATATATTAAAGAAAGATTTTTCAGGGTAAAGTCCCTTGTTCTTATTTTTTCTTACATAGGCAAAGCTGCTATTGGTATAGGTGATTACTGCTAATGGCTCTCTTTCATATTTCCTGTTGGTATGACTTATCTTTTGCTGTAAACACAAATCATTATTCTTTGTAACCCAAGTGTGATAAGTATATTAATATTTGCTATATTTTCTTTTGAACTGTTTCTTATAACAAGGGGTTTTGTTTTGTAGGACAAGTATGATAATCATTTAACATGTAAAATGATTTCAGAGGGATGCTGTCAACTGATTCAGGTCCAGAATTTGATGGTGAATTTGTTAAAACCAGACTTACTCTTGTATTAGCAGTCTACCTTTAAATTTCTTTTAAAAAATATTATTAATCCGTTGCTAAGAAACATGGCAAGAAACAAACCAAACTCAGTTTCATTTGAGTGTCAAATCCTTTCTAACGTACTTACAGAAATACAGAATTTCAGAATAATGCTTCAAAGTCACCTTATTGCTATAGTGTAATAGGCTGTAGTATATTCCTATGAGCTTCCCATGCTGTTTCAGCTTTAGTGGACAAGGAATAGCTTTCCCAGCCCAAAGACATTCTCAGGCGATGCTAGCAATGGTGCTGATGGATAGAGTAGAATTCAGCTCTGTTTAGAAACAAAGGGGACAGTCATTTTCTCCCAAGGGAGAGGACATGAAATGAGAAAGAGAGGATATAACCATAAAGGAATAAAAATAACCAGTTGAGATTTGTTCCTTGAGAGACATTGGTTTTGATTAGAATTGGGTGAATAAAACAGCCTGTAGCCTGTGAATTTGTGTTAAAATGGTCTGCAACGTACTCTGGCCACGTCTGTGATCCCTTCACAGTTTGCACAGTTGGGAAATGGGAATTTCAAAGTCACATGCCCAAGCTTTTGCAGAAATCAAATTTTAACTTTTTCAAAGCAACTGTCTACCCTTCCTGCCATGCTCCTTGTCTGGAAGGCAAAAACAGTACCTCAGGTGTTATCTGGCCGGTTGTAGCTAACCAGTGCAATACAAATAATGAATTATGTGTACTTGTAAAAATGATTGACAACCAATTCTTGGAGCTAAACATAGCATCAAAGAACTGTAACAGATATGAGCAGGTTTCTGTCTGCTAATGAGCATCCCGTGAACAAGAGAGGCTAAAGTCATTGAGTAATTTCGTCTTTACGACTTATTCTCTCCGCTTCACTTCTGTCTGTTGACTATTTAGAAACAACAGGTTAGCTATACAAATTGAGAAGAGGGAATACAAGTATCATGTGATTTTACTTATAAAGAGCAAAAGTTCAATTTTTATCTTTCTGGTTTTCTCTTGATGTATATTTACCATATCTTTTTGTTTGGTTGTTACATTTCTTGAGATATTTTGAACACTGCTTACCAAGACATAGTTATATGTTGCCTTCATTTAAGATTGCACACTTTTTCCCCCATCTCCCAGGAACTAATTCAAGGTTAACTTTGGCCTCTAGAATTTTAGCTACTATTATTATCAAAACATAATTCAGACTATTTTGAGAGTGGTTCTTTCACATTATTAATAAGGTTCCAAAGATGTACTGAACATGGAAGATCAGCAGCATATGTGAAGTACTCTTACATGAGTCAGAACACAGAATCCAGACTTGGCCAATGGGGTATAGATTCCTGCCATAATTCCCATGAATCTTCCAAATATTCCCTTGCTGTAAGTTGTCCTCTTCTCTGCCCAGTTTGTGGTTGTCTCTGTATAATGGTGCCATCTGTTGCTGTTCTAATATGGTGATATACACTTTTCTGTCCTGTTTTTCAGGGTCTTATGAATGTGGAATATGTGGGAAGAAATACAAGTATTACAACTGTTTCCAGACCCATGTGCGAGCGCATAGAGGTATCTCTCTCTCCTGCTCAAAGCTTTGGGAATTCTACATTAACATTCATGCTCAGGAGATATATTTGGGAAGGCCTGAGTGGCTCCTCTGCTGCTACTGCTTGTCAATGCTATCAGTCTGCCACATGGCCCTGTGTTAGGATTGCCCTCTGCTGTTGTTGTCAGACTCAGCGGGATCTGTGCTCCAGCTGCATTCTTTCGGACAGCGCCATAAACTGATCGCATTCCGCAATGTTAAATAAGATATCTGAAATTGTCTTCATGGGCCTCTTCCTGTGGCTGTAACTGGGTGCGGTGTTATATGCTGGGATCATTCCACTCGGATGCAGCATTCCACATGAGAAGCTGCCTTTCTTGGCACAGATCTGTCTGTGTCAGCAGTCCAGTTGCCGTAGCAGTAGTAGGCGATCTGCTCATGGCTCCCCAGCCTCCTGCCCAGCCATCCTTTCTTTTAATTTCCATCTCTGTTGTGTTAGAAATCAGTTGTTACATGACAGGCCCACAAAAATGGTTTGAGCAAATTTCCTGTCTAAGGATATTGGTGGGCTGTTAACAAATTATTCAGAGCTGTTGAATGATGTCCTGGAGGGGAATTCTGTGGGAATTAAACATTTAAGATGGTGATGGTAGCAGTTACCTAAATGCTTAGAGGCGTTATCTTCTACATCCGTTATCTAGTTTTTCTGTAGATTATTGTAGTATCTCCATACCATTGATGTATCAAAAGTTCAAAGGACACTTCAAGTTTAGAATCCCATTTTTAATTGTAACTTTCTAAATGCACCATTGGTATGAAATTTCTCATGCTTAGTCAAAGATCAGAAGAAACAGAATGTAGGGTTAGGGAAAGGCATTGCTCTGCTACTACTTTTTCTGTAGCTACACACTTGAGTTGGTCAAAATGCAGATATGTCTTTTTTTGAAGAAGTATGATCATGAAATAAGTATTAGAGACTTTTGAAATTAGCACATCACATGTGGAACTCCATTTATTATCTTTCATTTTTGAGATGAGCAGTAAAGTAAATCTCTGAGGGCACATCTACACATTGCCCTATGACAATGTAACGACATGCTACATCACCGTGTGGCACGCTACAGCGATGTAGCAATCGTGGGTCTACATGTACTCCCCCAGTATAGTGCCCCACTATGGCAATGTAGTGGCAAAATCTAACCACACACTGCACACATGACACAGTAATTGCCCACACTGCACCATGCTTTAGTATTTCCAAAAAGAAGTACTAAAGCATGGTGACATGTAGATGTGCCCTGAAAGTTGAAGACGTTATTCAATCGGAATAAGAACAGTAGCCAGTGCATTCTTCAATATAACGACTACGACTGGAATTTTCAGAGTCTAAGGATAGGAGATATTTAACTCTCCAGGGCTGCTGTGAAAATACCAGCATAAAACATAGTAGGCATTAATGTAATATTAACTTTAAAAGTTAAACTTGCAGAAATGAGCATACGCATGAATTAAGGGTTAATATATACCTTTAAATGCCAGTTTGAAAGTATGTTATATGTGACCATGTAATTAAAGCATACTATTTCACAAAAAGTACTATGTTATATTATACAATTTTTTCTTCAACTCTAAATATGCACAGCATTTTCTAATATTTGATATATTTTTGTGAATGCCAAGAAAATTCATGAAAGCTTTTTATTTGAGCAGTACTACAAATTAACACCATGCTGTAATTGAAGCATAGCAGCGTAAAGAAGTACAATATTGAATGAATGGTGTTAGTTGCTGGCCAATACAAAGTATGCAGTCACATTGCAACATTAACTCTTTCAAGAAATATTTTGCTTTTTTAATATGGACGGTTTCTTGCTGAGACCCTACTCTCAGTTGGAGTCCACAGGCACTATCTTAATATAGCAGTCAGGTACAGTATGTTACATCTCACAGTAAAACATCCAATTAAGTACTTAAAATGAAATCCTGATACACTTCACTCCCTGAAGTCAATAGAAGTTGCCATTGACTTTAGTGTGGTCAAGTTGTTATCCCTAGGCCCCTGGAAACGCTTATTTTTGTCTTTTCATTTCCAAATGATTTGTAATAAATGACCATGTACTTTGTATATGGGGCAGATTGAAGGCTATAGATACAGCCCTAACTTAGCATTTCTTCACTGAGTGCTTAAATTCACAATCTTCAATCTCTGCCATGGGATCTTGAATTCAAAGCTCTTGCAGCTTTGGCTGCTGAAGTCCTTCCCATTTCCCTTGTGCACTCAGCTACCATAATTCAGCTAGGGTGTCATGTGCCCTTTCTTTGGGTTCAGTGAACCTCCAGTCAGTTGATTTTTGCCTGTCTTTATAGTTTTGATAACTTCAGGTTACATGCCCCCAGTACATCCGCTCATTTCAAAGGATGCACATCTCCCTTGGAATTGGTTTCTTACCCACCTCTTCAGGGTGCTTTCTTCCTGGGATTTTTGGCCCGCTCCTGTGGAGAAGTGTCCAGATTAATTGTTTATTAAGAAGCCCCTGTCTTTTTCTTTTTTAACCTGGAATGGTCCAAAGCTACCAAAAATGGCCTTGGTTTCTTTTGACACCAGGTCATTAAGTTCTTTTATCACTGACTGAGCCTTACTGCATTGTAAGTCCACCTCAGACCTGCTTCAATTCAGGTAAAACGAAGTCATCCATATGGTGCACTTCACTATCCAAAGGACTGTTACTGCCACAACTCCCCTCCGGTGAGGGGTGCCACCACTTGGTGGAGAAGATTCTGCCCTGAGACAAGAAATGGACAAATCACATATTCCCGTGCCCATCTGATTTTTTTTGTTGTTGTTGTTACTTTTGAAACGTTTCTTATAACGATGGATGTTCTGTTTTGTTTTATTTTATTTTCTAGAGGACGCATCCCTTTGAGGCTTGCTTATTTATTGTTTTTGCTGTGTGGGAATTATTTTATCCCTATGTTTCTTGCAGTTTTGGCTTACACTGTAAGTAGTCATACTGCAGCACCTGTGGCCTGTGTGGGGGTTTTGATCTTTGATGTCAGTCCTACAGAACAGAAGACTGCTTTCCTATTTTCTTGGTGTTCAGAGGCAGTCTCATGGAGTTTTTTGTCTTCATACATCTCCACCTCCTCCCAACTTAGCAGAGATTAGGGAGATTTCGGTTTTGTGTAAAAGTGTTTTTTTGGCTGGATGTTTGTTCACTTTCAAGAATGGTTTGTTACCTTTTGGCAAACTTGGTATTTTTCTTGTGTATTGACTCAAACAGACACGGTTTTTCTGTGTTGTTCAGGGTTGGATGGAAGGTCAAAGGAAGTAAAATCCTGACAGTTTATGGGTGTAAAGTGGTGGAGTGAACTCGCATTCAACTAGTGCTTCAGACAGCAAAATATTTTAAAATTTTTATCCTGGTTTGTCCTAGAAAGCTGAAGCTCTAGCATGGAAATCCAGTGTAAGTTTACCTTCAAAGGAGCAGCACCCTCTTCCCTGCTTTTCAATACAAACATGTATTTTTTAATTTGTTAAAAAAGAATAAAAAATAAGTACCATTTTCTTTTTAAAGCAAACAAACAATCAAATGAAAATATCATTTAAGATAGAGGAGCCGAAAGACTCCTTTGTGAAGAGTTTAGGAACTATGCAAGAGCCGCGGCCTTCCTCCTCCTCCTCTGGAGCAATGTTAAACCCTGCTGGGACATAAGGAACTCAGAATGTAGTGCATGAGACCCAAGCGCTGCATTACCTAGCTATGAGAATAGCTGTTATCTAGGATACCAACATTAGCAAAAATTCATGCATGTGCGTGCATGTCAGAATGTTTTTGATATCACGGTTTTTTGTAAATTCACATTTTTAAACAATGAAAGGATCTAATACTTGCGGGAATTAGCATCTGAACATTTGACATTAAATGGTTTAGTCATATTTTAGTGATGTGAGTAGGAAAGCATTTATCATTTATTGAAGAGACGGTAGAGAGAGGCCATTTTACTAGGCTTTCAGAGGATTTTAAAATAATAAACCTTTAGACTGAGACTAGGCATGGAAAATTTTTGTCCAAAAGAAATTTTCAGAATGTTTGGAGCAAGGCAAAACAGAAGTTTGTAAAGCAAGTCTTAATGTTAACTCTAGTAGTTCTGACAGAATAACAAAGGAGTCTTTCCTTGTAGGACATAACTGTAGTTTTAATATAGCTTATTACAAGGGACCTACTGAATTCAGGGCAGCTGCCCTCCGATTTCGTGGTCTAAGTGCAGCACAGGTCTCCATTTTCACAGCAGGGTGCGGTGGGTCCCCACAGATGAAGATTGGCCATCTGTCAATCTCTGGGACTTGTGGGGCCTCTTGGTCAATCAGAGGCGTGGGGGTTCTCAGTAGCTCCCCCCTCTCCTTCCCTCCCTGCTTCAGGACTTCCTGCTGTTTTCTGTTTAAAGCTCCTTTTTATTCCCCTCCCTTCCCCACCCCCTTGCTTTTTTGCAGTCCCTGCACTTTTTCATGGGAGACCTACTGATTTCACAGTTCCCACAAAAATTGTGAGTTCATGATTTTGGTAGGTCCCTACTTATATTATTCAGTAAGCAAGGCTCAATAAGGAACCTCACTTTCAGATTGACTGCTGTTTTAATTCAATATGGATACATCAGCTGAGGATCAGGTACAATGCTGCTACTCATAATATTAATAAAATTGAGTGAAGGTTTTTAATGACATCCTCTTTTTTGATTCTCTCAGAACTTTGCAGTACTTTCAAATTTGGGGTTAAAATTTCCTGGATTGGTCTCTGCCCAATTCTGTTTGTTTGTAGTGAAAATTTGATAATAGGAGGATAACCAGTTCAACTTTTCAAACATGGAGGTATGGGGTTGGAGGTATTTTTTTTCCCATCACATATGTATTGTGGAAATAATTTTAGAATAGCTATGGTTCTGAAGTGACTGGGGATAGAAAGTTGAAATGTGATTGGGAAGATAACTCTTATTGAAAAGAAATGGTATTTCTGGTACCAAAGGAAATTGGTTTTTATTTTACCAAATTATGGCTTTTGAAAAACCATTTATCAAGCACATGCAGTACATTTTCATAGGTGAATAAAATATATTGGCACAGATAAGGTTAAGAAATTTAAGGCTTGGTGATGGGCACATTTGCCCTGCTATACTGCACCATCAGAGCCCCAGCATTTTTGAGAGTGCTGAAAAAGACAGGCTTACCATTCTGCAATATAGTTGACGTGCAATATAGAGCCATGGTTATTGTAATGACTTAGGTCACCTTTAGGGTATAAACTAATTTCCATTCTGATCACTTTACTTTCACTTACCTATGTAACTTTGTCAGAAAGGTGACTCAGGGTTGGGTTGTTTTGGTTTTTGTTTGTGAAACCATTCTTGATTTAACCAAGCAGGGTCAATATACTTTCTTGCAACATGTCTGCACATGTGCAGCTCAGAAAAGGATGAACTTAAAAACTGAATTTTGACACATTAAATTTGAAGGAACTATTTTAAAGCAGGAGAATGAAGGATTAAAACTAACATTTGTGCACACTTAAGTATAAAGTATTGATGGTTTGTGTATGCTGTTATCTGTGCAGCATATAATGGTAAAGAATTCCATTGAGCCACCACTAGGCTTTTTTCACTTTAGTGAGAGAGTAGTGCCATTTCAAATCTGTAACAGCTGTGCAGAAATACAGTTTTATGACTCAGTCATTCTGTAGATTCTGTGATTCTGATCTGGGGCTTCAGTTTATGAAGATGTACAAATATCCTGAGATGCACATGGCATTGTTACTTTTTAGTATTAGTATCATTATATATAAATACATATGTACACAGACACTCTCGCACGCACACACACACACACACACACACACACACACACACACACACACACA